GGTTATCCAACATCATCTTAAAGACTTCCAGTGTTGGGGCATTCACAACTTCTGGAGGCAAGCCGTTCCACTGATTAATTGTTCTAACTGTCAGGAAATTTCTCCTCAGTTCTAAGTTGCTTCTTTCCTTGATTAGTTACCACCCATTGCTTCTTGTTCTACCCTCAGGTGCCTTGGAAAATAGTATGACTCCCTCTTCTTTGTGGCATCCCCTGAGACACCGGAACACTGCTATCATATCCCCGTAGTCCTTCTTTTCATTAAACTAGACATACCCAGTTCCTGCAACCATTCTTCATATATTTTAGTCTCCAGTCCCCTAATCATCTTTGTTGCTCTTCTCTGCACTGTTTCTAAAGACTCCACATCTTTTCTACATCATGGCGACCAAAACTGAATGCAGTATTCCAAGTGTGGCCTTATCAAGGCATTATAAAGTGGTATTAATACTTCACATAATCTTGTTTCTATCCCTCTGTTTATATAGCCTAGAACTTTGTTGGCTTTTTTTGGCAGCTGCTGGCTCATATTTAAATGGTTTTTCACTAGGACTCCAAGATCCCTCTCACAGTTACTACTATTGAGCAAGGTACCACCTATACTGTACCTGTGCATTTCATTTTTCTTGCCTAAATTTCCAAGTCTGTTATCGAGGTGACATTGAAGGAAAGGGGGGGAGAGCATTCCATGCATGCCTTCGGCTACAGTTGGATTTCAGATTACTACAGCAGGCTTGTGAGGCGTGGAATTTTACAATCTGCTGCAGCACCTTGTTGGTGAATGTGATTTATGACACAGACCGAGGGGACGTGAGAAACAGGGGTAAAATTCAGCCATAATTTAACTGAGGTAAAATCTGACTCCACGCGAGTATTGCCGAAATGTTGTTCCTAATAAATGACTGGATTTGTTTTGAAACTTGGCTCAATGCTCATAAGTTAATTAGGGCATCTTTCGGAAACCTGACAGCATCCTGATGGTCATGTGATCAAAATTCAGACACTTTGAAACTGATCCATATTTATGACAATTACAATGTTCTGGGAACATGTGACCATCTTTTGCAACAAGGTAACAAAGCAAAGTCAATGGGGAGACCAGATTCATTTAACAACCAGGTTACTGGTTAAGAACTGCAGTGCTTTGCTTAACAACTGCAGCAGAAAAAGTTATAAAATGGGGTAAAACTCACTTAACAAAAGTCTTACTTAGCAACAGAAATTTTGGGCTCATAATTGGGCTTACAATGGTTGTAAGTCAACTCCCTATACTCAAACTGTTTCTGGTTTTAGTTCTTCTGAATCATAAAAATAATTCCTCACATTCTTTACAATGCGTCTTTGTGTGTGTGTTGTTGAGTGTATACTGTATGTAAAATAGAAAGGCTCATGTTACAACCATAATTTCATTAACTTATGGAAGAACTGTTTATTCAAGGCATAAGCAAGAAATTGAATTCTTACAGTTGATTAATTGCACACAAAGAAAAGATAAACTAGAGAAGAAATCGTTTCTTTGAACAAATTCTTCTACAAAGTGTAACATTTGCATGTGGGCTAAAAAGTGCTCGGAATAAACCAAACTTTGCTTATTTTAGTTCATATTCAATGACCTATGAATAGAAAAAAAAACTGGCCTCACTAATAATGAGACAGAAATGAGATCACTGCTGTTGAGGGCTCGGTTTGTCAGGGATGCTTGCAACAAGACATGCATTTATCTGCCTTTCTATAACCCTTTTCAAGCACTCTGGTAGAAAAGCTAAATTGAACAGCCAGTTTAGGAGGAACTTGGAACCTGCTCCAACCTTCGTAAGCCCTCTGGGAAAAGACAAATTATTGTTGGCAGGCCTGCCTGGCTCCAAAAGTTGATCCAGCACCCCCACCCTCCTCGCTCATGCAGCAGCAGCAGCAACAACAACAAAAAGGCTAAGAATGTTGTTATAATTAAATACCAGAGGGCTGATTGGCTGGAGGTGGTCCCGAAGCTGTGCAAAGGCAGCACAAAACAACGGCTGCTATTCATTGAGAGCAGCAGCAGAGAGGCTCAGAAGCTGTGTGTTTCCACTCCAAATTTAGTCCCCACCTACCTAAAAATGCCAACTCACTATGTTTTCAAACGACCACCTGCTTGGCTCTTTTGTAGTTGACATTTTTGAAAGTGACAAGAAACACACAGCTGGGAATCAAGAGGAAAACAGTTACCTTGTCACAGAAGATCATGAAGGGTTCTGGAGAAATCTGGCAATTGGTAGCAATAAATGGGCTTGTTTGCAAATATGATTGCAATATTTTCTCCAATCTTTCTTCCTCTCTCGCCCTGTAGAATATATGAAAAAGGATGGCGGCCAAGCAAGGCGTAGCGTTCACAAAGCTGCACATTGTAAGTATTCCACAAATATGAATGGTCTCTCTACATTACTCCACACAAGAGAGTGTGTATTTAAGTTCGGATTGCTCAGGCATACATGGAGGATCTCAAGCATCATTATTGACTTTGCTGTAGAACTGTGAAGAGTATTGGGGCTTTACTGCAAAGAAAAGTTGGCCTTGCTCCACATGAACAAATCTAAAGAATTTACTAGTCCAAGATCCTAAATATATTAGAGAAGAATTTTAACAAGTTAAGGTTCAAGAGTAATTAAGCAATAAAGTTTGAAACACACACATATACACTGTGTTTTCCACATGCTCTCTATTTTAATTGTATTTGATTGCATGTTTATTTACATGTACCAGGTATTTATTTATCTATTACATTTATGCCAGAGGTGGTATTCAGCAGATTCTGACCAGTTCTGGAGAACCAGCAGCAAAAATATTGAGTAGTTCAGAGAACCGGTAAATACCACCTCTGACTGGTCCCAACCCCATCTATTCTCTGCCTCCCGAGTCCCAGCTGATCAGGAAGGAAAGGGGATTTTGCAGTAACCTCCCCCTGAAATGGGGAGAGAATGGAGATTTTATAGCATCCGTCCCCTGCCATACCCACCAAGCCACGCCCACCAAGCCACACCACACCCACCAAGCCATGCCGACAGAACTGGTAGTAAAAATCTGAATCCCACCACTGATTTACGCATACTGTTGTGGAAGACTTACAGAACAATATCCAAGCCATTTTATAGAATTCAACCATCAAAATAGTTTGGAGATCTTTTATTAAGCATGAAGTCAGAGAAGACCAAGTACGGAAAGTCATTGACTGCAGGTGGGGGGAATGTGTTTATCTGTGTACCTTTGAATCAGTATTGACTTCTGACAATTGCCTGAACAAGTCCTGGTATTTTTCCTGGCAAAATTTCAGAAGTGGTTTGCCATCAGCTGCTCCTTCTTAGCGATGGGGAAAAGGTCACCCAGTTAGGTTTGAACCTAAAGTAGAACTAGAACTTACAGAATCCTGGCTTCTAGCATGTTACCAAAACAGTAAGAATATAGTATGGGGAATTAATGTTTTGACAAAAAATATGAGTGAATACCATACAGAATGTAGAGAATGGTCTTTTAATGTTATTGCAGAAACAAGGACAAAAAAAATCTTGTTATAATAGGTCATTTGTAAATTTATGTTTGGTATGTCAGCCAAAGCCAGTTAGTAATCCAGCAGTGGCTCACCGAGTAACTACAAAGGAGAAAATACATGTTTTTCGAGGGAAAATCCCCCAACTTTTTCAGTACACCAAAGCTTTATTAAAGGATGATATAATATTTCTGCAGCATTATTTATTTTTCATGTTTTAAAATTTTAAACTTTCTGACTTACTTGGGTCACTCTGAGTGAAGAGGAATTGTCTTGGGCCGCACATAAAATATATAATATAGTTAATGTATATAAATCACATAATACTATTAAAAGTTTATGCATTTGTTGGGCTGCATTATTAGCTATTCAGGACTACATACGGCTTGCAAGTCACAGATTCAACATGCCTGATTTAGGCCATAGTAGACATTCTGAAACTGTTGCATGCCAATAAAAGAATACATTTTATTTACACCAGAAAGGTCAATGAAAATGCATGAAAAGGTTCCATTTTTAAAAGAAGCCAAATTAAACTACAGTTAGGCATGATATATGCCTTTCTATGGAATCAAACAAACTAGGTGCTCAGTTTGTAGTAATGGTTCTGGGAAGTCATGCTGTAAAGTACCTATAATAAACAGCATTAAAGATGGAAGACAGACAGAAGAACATTGATCAGATGTGCAGGCAATCTCAAACTGTCGATACATTTATGTTGCATTATATTTGTTTCTAAAAAATAAACAGTGCCTAAATGTATATTAAAAAGCAACAATCCAGTATTGATCTAAAAGTGGGAGCTATGCTGTGGGACCGACTTTAGGATAAGAGCTAAAACTCACAGTAAAAATAAATAAGAAATAGAACATTATATTTAGTCACAGTAAAAAAAAATTAGAATACTGAAAGTTTTGTTATATATTTTGAAAAGGAAACACCGAGAGAAAATGAGGGTAATTAGAACCAGTGAATGAACCTGGAATATTTATATATTTATTTTGTATGTTTAAATCTTAAATACTTCCCAAGAGTTCAGTATGTATATGGGAATGTCTTTTCCTTTTATCTCAATAGAAGGCCTGTCAGGTTGGATTAAGAATATATTATTCTGCTTTTCTGTAAAATAGAAGTTGGTAGGTGGGTATGCAAAGCTAAAATGTGTGCTTTTTGGACTAATTATTTCTATTCCTTTTGTTACTTTTTCAACAGTATTTTTTTTAATAATGTCCCATAGAGATATATTTTTTTCCTTATTTCTTTTGCTAAAATAACCAAATTTATGCTGTTTTTATTCATTGTAGCCAAATTTTCTCAGGCCAGGTCTGAAACACTTCTTCCATAAATTCATCTATACCAGGGGTCTGCAACCTTAAAAGTCCAGTTTCCCCCACCTTAGAATCTCCTCCTAGCACGGCATCCTTTTTCCTCTACCTGTCCTAACCAAAAGCCCTATCAATTGTGGAACCAACTGGCAACAGGGAGCTGCAGCAGAGGGAGAAAGAGCCACATGCAGCTCCAGAGCTGCAGGTTGCTGAGACCGCTGGTCTATGTTAATTTCTACCATCATCTTCACATTGGTTTCACCAGCAGCACATTATCTTACTTTCAAAAGTCTCCCTAGTTTATTTTCTCACTATATTAACCGAATAAGAATTGGAAGGGACCCTAGAGGTCTTCTAGGCCCTGCTCAAGCAGGAAACCATAAAATTTCTGAGAAATATTATAGGCAGGCCATTTATAAACTTGAACCAAAAGGAAGCAGACTGAAAAAGATTTTGCCATAATAATATATTATTTATTTATATTTAGAAATTAAACTCTGTGTTTAAGATTTGCAGCAAGAACTTTTTTCTAGAGACATGAAAGTTTCTGTTTATGTTCTTCCTGAAGTGGATGCATTGTCCAAACCATTATTTTCATTACTGTCTTTATCTTCAGTACTTCCTCTGAGAAAATATTTTGTAGAATGAGACATTGGGCTGGAAAAGTGGTGGAAAAATTCTCTGATGTGCCTGATGCCCATCTCTGAGGGAAATTTTTTCAAGCCACTATCTGAAGGAGGATTGCAGAACTGATTCTGTAAATTGCATTTCATTTATCAAATGTAGAGACCACCCATCTTACTCTTCCATTTTTGCTGCCCTCCACAATTCTTTGCAGTTTCATAGAAAAACTTTAATGAACTTCAAAACCTAACAGCAAAGTAAAAATTATCTCCCCAAAGACACATAGAAGTGCATAATCATGTGTTGAGTTTTCTGAGAGGCATCTGCCAAAATCTATATTAGGCATCTAAAGTATTGAAATGCTTAGTCCTTGCCAATTTACTCAATTTCTTTCCTACTAAGAATAAGAACATTTTTTTTCTTTTTCACATAAAGTTAACTATTTGGAGTTAAGGCGTAGACAAAGAAGACTATTTTGAACCTAAAGCTCAGATACTTTGCCAACCACGTGACAAGAGAAGACTCATTGGAAAATACCCTTGAAGGCAAAAGAAGACCGAAAATGAGATGGTTAGTGTCATAGATATAATGAACATGAATTTGAACAAACTCTGGAAGACAGAGGAATCTGATATGGTATAGTCCATGGGGCCATGAAGAATGGGACATGGCATAATGACTGAACAAACAAATCTTTTGGGGGGAGGGCCAATGTCTGGAATCTATTAGTAGTGAAATAATGAATTATCATTATTTTCAGTAACTGGGAGTCCTACCAACCTATTCCATTTAATTAAAATTATCCTATTTATTGTAAATCATTTAATATAATAGGCCATATTAAATTTAAACCCTATACTTGGGAGCAAAGACTATGTAAGAAAAAAAATACCCATATTAAATTTACTCATTCACCTGAGTAAAATAAAAGTCTGGTATTTTAGGCTGCCTTCTTTATTAAATCCAGTGTTCCTTTTCATTTAAGGACTAAGATAAGCAGCTCAAAATAAGATACAATTACAATTCATTTCTATATGTTTTGATTTTGAATGCTGTCCTCTTTCAACTTCAAGTTCACAGATGTCCACAGGTGGAATTATTTTTCCTTTTCATATAAAGTTGGGTTTTTTCTGTAACAGTTACCTCACGCTTAGTAATCACTTTTGCTTGGGCCACAATGTCCAATTTAAAATGTTCCTGCAATATAATATTTCACTTTTCAAAAGTAGTAATTTGGTGGATGATTTTACCAGATAGACAATGGTTAGAGAATGGCCCTAATCTTTGGGCAGAACAAAATAATTATTTCAGGTGGTAAACTGGGAGAATGACAGGTAAGGCAAAGTCCTGACTCACTGTTTTCTTGATCAGAATACCATTTTGGAAGACAGAAGTAAGTAGATTGATATGAAGCTACTGAAGCAAAAGTTGTAGCCACTAACATGTCATTCTGAGATTCCTCTAGGCAAAACATTATGACTTGCCATGCTTAAGAACAATTTGGAAGAAACCTTTTGGACCTTGTGGAAGTGAGAGTCCATCACTTCTCTGCTCTTCATTAAAACAGCCTGACTTTGAAATAACATGTGAGCCTGAAAAAAGATGCCTTTGTTTTAACGTGTCTCTCAAACTACTCACAACTTTTATACTAATATGGATCCCTTGGAGCAACTACGGACTAAATCGCACATCAAAATTACTATGTTTTTCTGTTATGTTCTATTACTCTTAAGACCGAGAAATATTGAAAGAATGCCCACAAATATTGAAAGAATGTATCAAGGCTTATACTCTTCAAGAGTGCAGGAATGGCTTCTGGGTGAGTAGCAGAACTGCATTCAAGACGGTGATGCTCAGGATTTCAAAGGCAGACCCTGACCAGCTTCAGTAATTTATAGCCTCCTCATATATTCTTTCAATTTTGGAAAAAGGATCCTCTGAATTTTTTCTCATCATCACATTGTACTTCATTATTCATTGTATTAAAAACCAAGAGGTGAAAATGGGTATGTTGATAAAAAGAAATTGCATTTTAATGCAAGAACATTCTGTTTCAGTCTTCCAGCTTGTACTTTACCATTTGTTTTCACTTCAAATATATTTCTGATTGTTCCTGCCAGTACATTTTTTAAAGAATTTTATTGTCAGAGCCACCCAAACAATAAGTTCACTTAATGCAAAAGAAAAATTTGCTTGTTATTACAATTGACTGCAGAAAAAAGATATCAATGCACATTATTACTTTTAGTGTCTACTTTGGACTTAAGCTGTACATGTTCTTAGATTTAAGAATGGACCGATGCCATTTTTGGAACAAGATTTCCTTCTCAAAAGACCCCACATGTTATCATGAAATGAAATTGTTGGATAAAACCAAATTATCACAATAAAAGTATGGGTACCATAAAAAGCCAGAAATAATCTTCATCACTTATTTGTTGAATTTCTGTCTCAAATGCATTTTTATTACATAAAAGTAAATATGGAACCTTTAATGGCCTGATGGCAATTTGCCTTGCGTAGTCAACATTAATGCCTATATTTTGATTTAAGAAATATAGTTGTTTGGTTTTCTTGTATAATATATTGGTGTTCTAATCAGTACCTTTGATCAATTTGCTATTAATAAAAATAAACATTTTATAAGATCGTAATGCTATGGAATGGGGATTTACTGCCCCCATTGATGAATAAAATTCTTGTAAATACAGTGATCGATATCGTACCTTGAGCTAAAAAGCTGATTTTTAGTTTGGTTTGGTTTGGTTTATTAGATTTATATGCTGGCCCTCTCCCAAGGAATTAGGGCGGCGTACAACATTAAAAAAAAGACATATTACAAAAGTTAAAAAGAATTAAATAGAATATCCCAAACAAACCCAATTAGGATTAACAATAACATTTTTAAAAAATCAATTAAAATTAACAATGATCAATAATTTATTTTGTTTTGTTCAGGCCAGGCTGGCTTGCTGGAAAAGCCAACTTTTTAGGGCGCATCGGAAGGACCGGAGGTTGGGGATTATACAAAGCTCTAGGGGCAGCTCATTCCAGAGGGAAGGCGCTCCCACAAAGAAGGCTCTCCCCGTGGGGGTCGCTAGCTGACACTGTCTGGCCAATGGCACCCTGAGGAAGCCAACTTTGTGAGTTCGCACTGGATGGTGGGAGGCTACCAGTGGCAGTAGGTGGTCTCGCAGGTATCCTGGGCCTAAGCCATGGAGCACTTTAAAGGTCATAATTAGTACCTTGAATCACACCTGGAAGACAACCGGCAACCAGTGCAGGCCGCCTAAAAGGGGTGCTCCCATGATAACCCACACAGCTGCATTCTGGACCAGTTGAAGCCTCTGGTTGCTCTTCAAGGGCAGCCACATGTAGAGAGGAACTGGGGAAGCTGACGTGCTACCACACTCTCAACAACCTTCGCTACAAAGCAAAGGTTGGAGACCAGATGATAGTTGGCTAAAAAAGCTGGGTCCAGGGAAGGCTTCTTAAGGAGGGGCCTCACCACCGCCTCCTTCAAAGCCCCAGAGTTATTTGTAGAATCATTGAAATGGTTTGACAGCCCCAGTTTTACTCTTCTTCCCATGACAGTCTCATCTCAACCCAAGATATGTCAACTTCTCAGACTTGTTTTCTACTCCCTAAAGAATGCCCAATAAAAAAACAACAGTGAAAGTATGAAAGAAGTAAATTCACTATTATGCCCAAGCTTTCTATTGTCATAGCAAAGGACAAGTCCTGCTGAGATTTGCTTCAGTAAAAAAGCAAAATATTTCTGATTTTTAAAAATCCAATAATAAAGCCAGTAGCATGATAGCAATTTATTTCAATGGAAGCAAGGATTCAAGAAGGTTTTAGTAATTGGCAGATATAATACATCTTTTTCCCAATCACGTTCCTGACTTCTCGTAAAAATGATGGGTCAAGGAAAATATTGCTCCGGCCATGTGAAACGATCTACCCATAGAGATCTGGACCCTTTCCACTCTCTCGGCCTTCCCAAAAGCCAACAAAACCTGGCTGTTCCGGCAGGCCTGGGGCTGCTGAACAATGTCCAGCCCCATCTAGACAGAATGGATGGTGTGTTATTTTTTAAAAACTGTATCTTTTTATTCCTAATTTTTAACTTTTTATCTTGTCTCTAAGCCACCCAGAGTCCTGCGGGATTGGGCGGCATACAAATTTATTAAATTTCAAAATTTCAAATTTCTCAATATATTTATAATCAGTTTGGACCAGAATGGACTCTAAATAGGAATCAGAGAACTGACTTGGAGTCCTGAGGGAAGTCCTATGAACTTACTTATCTGTTAGTAGTCAGATGGGAACTGAAATGTGTCAAAATGAGAATTCTGTGTATCTGCTAGACTTCCTTCCAACCATTCATGAGGACTGGGAATGGAAGGCACAATTTTATAATTTTCCTAACTAGACACTTAGAGAGTCCATATATTGGGTCCATATATTAATCATCAATATGCTGATAAATGATGACCCAGCCAAAGGGATGGAATGTCAGTGTGGTTCTTTTTGCACTGAGAAGCTTTGACATTGTGATTTGCATCTCTTTAAGAAGACTATTACATTCTATGTGATGGTGCCTTTCAACTTGAGGTTGGTATAGAATGTCATTGCCCTGATTACTAGTTGATGTCCATTCTAATTTAAAATTCTTAACCTATATTTGTTGAACTTATAAAGTGAAAGCACTTTTTCATTTTCATTACTCTGAGCCATCTATTGATGTGAAATCAGTACCTGCATACCCAAGGGAACTTTGCAGATCCTATGTTTTGACTCTGGCACATTAGTTTTTCTTTAGTAAAATATTCCTAAGCATATATTATTATAAAATTCTTTTTATAGATCGGGCTATAATGTAAAATATATAGCCAAGCATGCTTTTTCTTGTTGCTGACGGCACATCAGTAAGCTGGTGTCACTTCATCTAACCAAATACAGTTCAGGTTACAAATGATTTTAAGACGTTTAGTGTTATTTTACATTTCTACTGATATTTTTACAAAGTTCATTAAACATCTTTGTTTTTATTATTAAAATCTCTCTTTAAAACATTTTTGCATGTTTTTTTTAAAATATGATGTGGTCTTATATATTTCAGTGTCAAAAACACTAACTATTTTCAGATTGTCATCCTTAATTTTATCTTTGTCTGATAAAATTCATTTTATCAGTCCCTGGTTTTTGAGCTGTACTGTTTCTCAAGTTTCTTCCTGTAGTCCATTGTAGCCTCAGCCTGAAAAAATGCTATACTCAAAATCTGTTTCCAATTCTCTAAACCATGTGAAAAAAAATTCTCCCAACTTTTTCCCACCTTATTCTCAATGGTTCTGAGTTTTGAAAAATCTTATTGTTCTGAGATGTAGAAAAGAGCCAGCTCTGTTTTCAGTTACACATCTCTCTATCACTCTGCAAGCTTCCTGGCTGATCCTACTTCCGTATCTAAAAAAAAATACCTAGTGGAGGTGCCTAATGATGGTGTCCCTTGGGATTTAACTGAAGCACGGGAAGCCACATAAATACAGAGGTGTTTAGTGAAAAGCGAGTCATTCAAACCATCCCTACCTTTATACTTAAGAACCTGTCATCAGCCTGCAAGGAATCTACCAAAGAAATTATTTTCAGCTGTTATGAACAGGGTTGAAAACATTTTTGTTATCTCTTAACATTTTCTGAATTAGGCATATGAAATGGTCTTCACACAACTGAAAGCAAATTCTTGTAACTTAATGAGCCAGCCATGGACTTTCTGATCTTTAAGCTTATAGAAATATTTATATATAAATGAATGGATATGTGTTTATGTATGTATATATGTATGTATGTATGTATGTATGTATGTATGTATGTATG